TTTTTTTGGTACCAAGGATCAAACTCATGATCTTGCACTTGCCAGGCAAGCACTTGTGCCACTGAGCTATATTCCCAGCCCCTGCTGAACACTTTTTAATGTATTTATTGGTCAATTTTACTCTTTCTGAGAAGTGAGCAAAGATAAATCTCTTCTCCTGTAAGTTGCAGGTGTTGTACACTTTGTTCCAGTGACACCAAAATGACTAAGACACTTGCACTTCTGTCCATGTATGTCCAGATCTTAGGGCCCAGCTGCCCAATCTGGTCACACCCACCCCTAGCTCCCTGGCCAAGTCTAACTCTGCCCAGCACATGGAAGCCAGGTCCACATTCTCAGTGCTAACCTGGATCCTGTCAGACAGAGGAACCTGTGCTCGTCCCACTAAGTACCCTCATGACCAGCATCCCCCAAGGGTGAAGAGCTTACAGAAGTCCCCAGGGTGCTTTGCAGTCAGGGGTCATCAGCTGGAACCCAGCCCAGCAGTTCTGACCATGATGCCCACTGTGGGAACTGCCTAAGACCCCTATTAGCTAAGAACATAGGGATTCTGGTAGCCTCAGGCATGGGACCTGGCCCGAAGGCAACAGCTGGTTGACTTTAGTTTGGTCTAAGTGACAAGAGACCAAGCCATTACCGCGAGTACTGGCTTCAGTCTGGACCAAAAAGGTACTGGGAAGAATAAAGCATCCCACAGGCCTAACCCCAACTCTACCTCTTACAATATAAGCATTAACTCAAAACAGATCAAAGATCAAAATGTAAAATATAAATCAATAACTTTCTATAGGGCTAAATCTTTGGTTCATGGGTTAGGTAGAGATTTCCTATGGACCACATCATAAACAAGATTCGTAATAGAATAAAAAAGGAGAAATTGTTTCATCGAAATTAGGAGCCAGTCCTTGAAAGATTTTATTTGGAGAATGAAAGGACAATGCACTAACTGGGATAAAACATTTGTAGTCATTATTAGACTATACATATATCAAACCTTATCAGATTCTATACTGGTTGTTTTGTTTTGTTTGCTTGTTTTCTTGTAGTACTGGGGACTGAACTCAGGGCCCACACTGGACTACATGTCCAACTCCCTGCCTCTTTTATTTTGAGAAAAATCTTACAAAATGCTAAATTGACAAGGCTGGCCTCTAAACACTATCATCCTGCCTCAGCCTCCCAGATTGCTGGCATTACAGACATGCACCACTACACTTGCAGCAAGTAATTTATTTCAACATAACTTGAATGTGAACAGCTCTCTTAAAATACTTTGTCTAATTATAATCAGAGGCAAGTAGATGCCAATGGGCATTCCAGATAGACCCTTTGCCCACATACTTCTTTCCTGTATCCTGGTGTGCACAAAATACCACGTGATGGTCACTTGCCATTAGTGCTGTATTAGTTCACAACTTGTGACCGATGCAATCAATTCTAACAAGAAGATGGGTAAGGCAGGTTTGACCTCAAGAAAAAAGAAAGTAGATGATGTTTTCCACAATTATCTTCTGTTTGTGTGTGAACACATTTGTGTGTAAGAGAGAATAAGCTCTCTGATTGGTGTTTTCTTTCTGATTCAACCAAACAGCTTTATTCTACTTTATTTTATTTCATTTTATTTGTAGCAAGTGTTATGTTTCATTTTCTACACCCCCTGAGATGTGCATTTCTTCTATGGAACAAGAACAGCAACAACAAAATTTTGACAACCCTGGCTAGTACAGCAGTAACCAGCACAACTGTTCGATTAACACGTATTTTCCATCTTTTCTAATAAACACATGATTCTTAGAAAGCCACCCAAAGGTCAAAGTCTCAACTTTGCAAATTTTAAAAATTCAGGAAAGCCCTCATTCGCTAACAATTCTACCTACTTTCTTATCAAGATTCTAATGAAATTTGTATTAAATGTCCTTACTTGATTCTTTTTATCTGGTTTGATTTTCAAACAATATTTCAATGTTATTGCATGCACTTCAGTAGGAATTATCAATTAAAATTTTATAAATGTCTATTTTATTCACTTACTGTCTGCAATTAAAATCATCAATAATAACAATGAGCACTTTGTGCACAGTGAAATAAGAAAGCGGTGGGCTGGGGAAGTGGCTCAGCAGCAGAACATTTCCCTAGCATCCCTGAAGCTCTGGATTCAATTCCCAGAACTGGTGTTATTAAAAAAAAAAAAAAAAAAAAAAACAAAGTGAAGAAGATGTCCTGTGAGAAATAATGCAGTCTCAGTTTCCTGCAGGTGAAAGCCTTCAGAGAGATGGATTCGGGACAGATACCACATTCTCTCTGAAGATGGCATAGTCTGTTTGGCCATGCATGCGCTGAGAAACATGTGGGCTGTGTGCTCTTTGGGCTGGGGTCCTTTTCAAGAGTCCCCATGGTTCCTGCCTGCCACCCTCTTGACTCTGGGCATAGGCTAGGACTCTCAGGGCTGCAAGCGCACAAGGTGGCTTCCTGGGCCACATCCTTGCTGTGCTGGGGTCCCCCTAGCTGGTGTAGCCCAGGTCCTCAGTATCCTGCTGTCCAGTCACAGACACGGGAGGAGACCGTGTTCTCCAGCTCCTTTTCCACCATCTGCCCAGCCCAGACGTCCTGCAGACTCAGCTCAGTGTAGGGCAGTGTGAGTACACCCAAACTGCCTGTGTGCTCTCTTGGCTCAGGACGCAGGTGTGGGTCGCCTGCTTATGGTGGGTGGGCAGACCAGAGCTGTCCTGCTGCTGTGCTGCCCCTGTAGGCCTGGGCCCCGAGAGCCATCACTTTTCCTCCTCCCACTGCTTTCCAGGCTCCCTCTCCGATTGTCTCTGACACTGTTTCCAAGGTCTACCACCATATAGACATAACACATTTAGCTAGTTTTATTCTGTTGTTGATTAACACAGAATAATTGCACATTGTTTATGGGGTACGTTGAAATATTCTGACACATGTGTATAGTAGGTAATGATCAAATCATATCATTCGCCCTAATAGCATGCAGCAGGGAGGAAAAGTTCTCTGTCATCTCTTCAAAGCACCTTGATTACACACAAACTGCTGCCCTTTTTGGGCTTCGCAAGCAAATTAATAGTGGCACCCAGGAAACCTTGAGCTGGCCTCAGAGTGGAGGTCAACAGGCTGTTGCCAGCATGACTCCCTCGACACATTTGTATTCAGTGACTGTAGCAATTAAAAATCAGGCCCCGCTATTCGTAAGAACCTCTAGATAGATTCCTCTTCTTCCATTAACAGTGTGAACTGATTTCAAGTGTCCTGAAACAGATGTTTGCTGTCAGGCCAATTTTTCTGCCAACCAGTGAGCTTGGCTCTACTGGTCTTTATGTCCCTTTCTGAGCCCTTGCTCCTCAACGCCCTGATGTTCAAGCCCCTACTCCCAAACCGTGCTTCAGTTTCTATATAATCTATCCAGAATCCACTCCTGGGAGCTTCTCCATATTGGAAGCATGCATTAGCTCAAGCAGAAACCAAAATTACTATCGATAGTGCAAATCTGTTCATGACTGTTTGCACTACCCAGAGAAAGCCCCTTTGCTCACTCAGCTGATCAAATACACCTGACACCATCCTGCATCCCCACCCCCAGCCGTAATGACACATCGTGACTGCAAAGGTGGGTCTGAGTGTGAGGGCAGAAGATGACATGGCAGTGGCTGTGTCCAGATTCCTGTCCACTATTCACAGCTTCAGACTCCTGGCCACAAGATCTTCCTGCCTGGACAAGTAAAATATACTGTAACAGTGAGCTCATATACAATGAAGGTGGATTTAAGAGCACTGTTCAGCAAGGCCTTGTGAAAGCCACCACCACACAAATATTCTCAACAGCAAATGTCCAGAAGGCAGAAACAGATGCTGTCACTCAAGCTCTTCATGAAGAAAGTAGCAGATGGTGTTTCCTTAGGACAGCATCACAGCTGTCCTTCCAACCATCACATCAACTGTCTGGTCCATAGACAGAGTCCTTCTGTCCTCGGAGTAACAGTTTTTCATTAGTTCTTTCTCTTTCTCCAACTGAGAATTTAAGGCAAAAAGAAGTCAGGTGGTCAGGAAAGAGAACAGGAGCCTACCTCCTGGGGTACACATTTGTTGACCCCTAACCTTGGCATGATCCAACAGAAGAAGTACCTTTGACCTCATTCTTCCCATGTGGTTCTTCCTGGATCTCTCCCCTTCTGGTGAGCAGGGAGTCCAGGCACCAGTTTGCCCCTGCTTAGGATTAACTGGGTTTCATTATCTGGTAAGGCTGCATATGCCCACCCCATACTGTTACTGGTATCACCAAAAACAGCTGATAACAGTTTATGTAGCGAGTGATAGGTGGTCCTAGCTGTCTCTACTCAGCCATAACAGGCTGTTACATGCACAAGTATACAACTCATTCCCAAACTCAACCCATTGGCATGATTTCAGCAAAGAGGCCTAAAATGTCTCAATCACCCCCAATTTTGGTGCTTTTTAAATTTTTATTTATGTATTTTTACAGTCCATCGGTAGAATAACACTTAAATCACAGCAATGGCAGAGATGAGCTTAAACCCAGAGCCAGTTCAGCCAGCCTGCCCACCTCACCTTCCTTAAACCCAGGTTGATGGGATGTGCGACCAGCAGTCTTAGGTTATAGCTGGGTGTGTTGTTAACTCCCTGCTCATAAGCGCAGCAAAGACCATGATCAAAGTCACTTCCTCTGCCCAGTTCCAGGTCTGTTCGTATATATACAGGCACACAACACAACATCAGCCCTCACTGTATTTTTAATGACATCTGATTTTCAAAGTCTGAACTTGCCAAAATGTAATCAATGGATGCTTAGTTACAGTACCCTAAGAGTTGGAAGACATCACCATTCATTTCCTCTAATGCCTTTATCTGTTTAGATTCCACAGCTCCTTAACAAAGACATAATGACTCCATCAAGGTAGACAGAAATAAATCCACTGCACAGAGCTGGGTGTCTCCAAGACCACAGCCTAAAGGAAAATGGTACTCACCAGGTGAGGCATCAGGAGGTCAGCCAGGTAGACAAAAGCAGCCCCGAATGTGAAGCCCACAGCCACTGGGACGAAGGCATATGCACCAAATCTTCCTGAGGATGTGGCCATCTCAACTGCTGGGGCCAGGAGAGACCAATAAGAGGCTGCCAACATGACTTGCAAAACCACAGTGAACAACAAACTATTAGATAGCCCCAGGCCTTCTAAGCAGGGTCCTCTATTGCTCTTGGGCCCAAACTAAACCCTCTCATTTTATATGTATTGGGCCTTTAATCCTAGGTATTAGGGATCAACTATCCCACCAGAAAACCAAGTCCACAACTCATGTTCCTCCTAGAACTAAATTTGTAAGAACCCAATACAAACAGGATAGTCAATCGGAGGAGGATGGAGTCCACTTTGCTGTCATTTACCCTCAAATTCAGTGGTTCTCAACCAGAAGCAATTTTGCACTTGAGGTAACATGTGACCATTATCTAGAGAGATTTTCAGTTGTCACACTGAAGGCAGGGTAGGGAAAATTGCTACTGGCATCTAATGAGTAAAGGCCCAGGGTACTGGTAAACATCCTTCAGTGTACAGCACAGCTCCTGACAACAAAGAATTATCTCTTCCCCAAATATCAGTGGCAACACTGTTGAGAAATCCTGTTCTAATCAAATACTTCCAAGATAAATTTCTGATAACTTCACAAGCACCACTACATAATAACAGAGTTCTAATTATTACAGAATTCCTCCTGATGTTGAACTGAAATCTGTCTCCCATTTTTATCTGATAGCTCTCTTTCTGTTCTCTGAAGCACCAAATAATATGCCTTTCTTCTGTGATATGTGGCTCCCTTTGAAGTATTTGAAGACCACAAATAAATCAATGTCAGGATGGTCTCATCAGTTTTCTTATCTCTAAAAAGGAACAAAGAAACTAACATTTATGATCACCTATTCTTTCCAGAGATCAAAGTTTACATTTGATATCATCACAACAGCCCCAGAAGGCAGATACTGTTTTCCATTGCTATTTGTAGGTAAAGTTCCCAGAAGAACTGAAAGCATCATACCACAGTGATATATGTGCACCCATGTTTATAGCAGTACAATTTGTAATAGCCAGATCTTGGAAACAACCTAAGTGTCCATCGATTGAAGAATGGATAAAAAAGTTGTGGTATTTTTATACAATGGAGTACTACTCAGCTATAAAAAGTGACCGCATTGAGACATTTATAAATAAAAGGATGCAGCTTGAGACCATACTCATAAGTGAAATAAATCAAACTCACATGTATAAATACTGAATAGTTTCCCTAGTGTAAGAAATGATAAGAATACATAGAAGTACGTGGTAATCATGATTCCCAATCATATTGGTTTGAAGCCATTATGATGCTTTCTTTCTTTTTTTTGTCTTTTTCCTTTTTATCGGTACCGGGAATCGAACTCACGACTGCCTGCTTGCAAGGCAGGTGCTTATGACGCTGAGCTAAATCCCCAGCCACAAGAGATTTTTTTTTTTTTTTTTTTGGTATATGTTGTTATTGTAGATATTCTAATTTTTGTGTGTGTGTGTGTGTGTGTGTGTGTGTGTCTTTTTCCTTTTTATCGGTACCGGGGATCAAAGTCGTGACTGCCTGCTTGCAAGGCAGGCACTTACGCCGCTGGGCTAAAACCCCAGCCCCCATATAATGTTTTCACTCATTAACCGCAATGGTTTTAACCTGGGTTGTTTGATTTTAGTATCTATGATAGCACGAATAGCTATTTTGAAGAAAGCAACACAACATAAAAGCTAGTGTTGATTTAATATCGTCTTGTTTTAAAGTCCCATCAAGCTGTAGTACATCTGTTTCCACTGGGTTTAACATGTTGTATCTTACTATATTTCACTATAAGCTATAGTATAAACAAAACTCTTTATAGGCAAAGAGATAATATAGAAAACATTGTTTGTTTTCTATTAGCAGGTTCTAAATATCCTGTAATTATTGCATTCTCTTGAAAGGCTTCACACTGTCTAGATAAGCTTGATATTATAGCATGCGAAGTTACACTCAAATAATTTAAGGAAAGAGGCACTGTGGTGACTACTATCATGTTAGATTATCTGGTGGTGAAACACAGTGATGCTTGAATTGCTCGGTTCTGCCCTGCATTGTTCTATTACAATATCCTCTCTTATCTCAATCTTCCCCCTATTTTTAAATTAATCTATTTTCTCTCACTTTTTTAATTAAGGGAAAACTAAATTAAAGAGTAACGGGACATATTATAGTAACTTTTTTGTTGTCCTATTAACCTGACTTGAACCCCAGTATTGCTCTCCCCATCTTGTTCTGTCTGATTTATATTCTATTTTGTTTGATAGTGTCAAGTTTGAGGGTATAGGCAATCACTTCGAAGGCAGTAAGATATACTATGATGCCCAATATGGATTAACTATCATCCTTTTTTTTTTTTTGAAGTCCTGTAAGGTCCTCAGTGTAGATTTTATTGGTTTGGTTCCATATTGTTTTGATCAATTCTATTATACCTGATGATATAGACAACTCAATTTGAAAATAGCAAGAGGCACAATGGTAACCACTTTTGATCACCTGCTATTCTATTTTTGCATCACGTGCTATGCCCACCCTTCTGTTCTAACTGACTCTGTTTTGCTTAGTCACATTTTTTATTCTCTTCAAAAAAGTAGTAAGAACCATGAGAGTAATAAAACCCTAAAAGTCTAATTGTTACTGTAAAACGAGAGGAAAGTAAGGTGGACTAAGGGATATAACCGCAGGTATGTTCGAGAGTATAGGACGGAAAACCATATAACTGAGCTCTTGTTGGATCATTGAACAGAACTGTCTCCAATTCCACTGTATGAATGTTCACTTTATATGCTTTAATTTAGTGATATGGACAACTGTTTCTGGGAAGATAATGTGTAGCCTGTTAACTGGTGATTTCATACTGTATATATTTTTTTCTAGAAATACTGTATTATTTGTACCCGTTTACTGCATTGGTTTTTTTTTATGTCCTTTTTTTTTTCTTCTCTCGTTAAATAAAAAAAAAGAAAGTGCTCTAAAGGATACAATTGCAAGTGTGTTTAGGTGTGTTAAATAGATGACCATATTAATGTTTTTGATTGGATCACTGAACACAACTGTTTGCAGTCTCACTGTTTGAATGTCCACTTTGTATGCTTTAATCCTGTGACTTGAACAGCTATCTCTAAGATGATAATGTGTAATCTATTAAATGGGGATTTCTTACTGTTTTTTTTTGTAGTTCTGTATTACTTGTACCCTTATACTGTTTTGCTTTGTTTTGTTTTTTCTCTTTTTCCTTTTAAATAAAATTAAAAAAAAAAAAAGAAAGAAATGAAATCTGGAATAATAAGGCAATTTGCCCTTTTCACACAGGCAATAAGTGGCAGATGCAGGGAACTGACCAAGCAGGACCACAATCAAATCAGAGAGGGGAGAAATAAAGAAGAAGAAAAAATAATGCTGGTCTCAAACTCTCGGCTCGTCACTTTGATAAACAGTTCTCCAGCACTGACCAAATGACTCCCCCATGGCTACTCACTTTTATAGATGTCATGATATCTTTCTTGGCTACAGTACGCCCACCACCTATCATAACTGCAGGACCGTCATCACAAGTAGGTAAAATGTAGAATGGGTTTCTAAAAATTGCCTAATTATGCCCTGTCTTTAAAATATACCTGCATCACCCATCTCCAAAATAACATTAAGAGTGACAGAGCCAGCTATTACCACGGCAGCAGTAAAGAACAAATCCATGAGTTCCCTTCTGCCAGCCATTGTACACATGGAGTTGCTTGCTCTGGGCCCAATTCCCCCAGCAGAAATCTGAGGGCCACCCAGGCAAAAGTGCATTTGCCTCTTAAGTCCCAAGAAAGAATAAAACTGTCTCATCTAAACAGGATGGGAGCTAAGGATGACCAGTACGACTCCATGACTCAGATTGCCATGAAAGGCCATCAGGGGAAGCCCAAAAACTCCTTCACACTGCTGCAACCTTATCCATCGCCCTTCCAAACTGTATCACCCTAGATATGAAATCCAACAGCCCTTAACAGATCTCCACAAACAAGATCCTGACAGGAGCAGAGACAATGATCTCCTTTTTACACTTGAACTATTGCTCTCTTTTTCCCCTCTCCCCTCTCCCCTCTCCAGGCTCTAGCCTTCAGGGCATCTCATACAGTCCCACAGCCCTAAAGCCATATTTACCCAGGGACAGCCAAATTCTAACTTATTTTTAATAACAAAATTAATTTTTAATAGCTTGTATATATAGATGTTTAACCATATGCTTAAGATCAACTCCTTAATAGCAGAATTTTATATCCAATTTACTTGTTTTAGATACCACCTTTTTATCTGTTACATTAAGGTTTTGTATCCACATATCCACTTGTACACTGAAAGCTTAAAGAAAAACACAGGACACAGAGGGATTGCCATTTTTAGCAGCAATGAAATATCATTAACCGCTTTTTACATACCAAATTCAAGTCACTATCAGAGGTGAGTGTACTACAAAGTCACTAGGGACAAAATTGCTAGTTCATTTTTAAATAACTTGAAATTACCCTGGCCCCCACCCCATTAATCCCTTTTATAAACAGCAAGCATTTTTTCTTTCATCCATAGATTAGCAGGCTTGTTCCAATATGAAAGTGCTAATTCATCTGCAGATTTTTTAAATCACTCAAGCAGTGCTACAATAAATGTCCAAAAATCTGCATAGGAATAATCCTTGATGAATGAAAATGATGAAGACAGAATAAGGCTATGGGATTACCTTATCTTATTTACATATAAAGAATACCCAATGGTAAGGAGACAGAAATTGGACAGATACTCATATGTGTAAAAATTGCATCTACCTTTGAGCTTTATACTGGAAACAAGACATTTTAAATCATCCTATAGTTCATACTATTTTTTTCCTCAGCAAAAGAAAAGCTGCATGACATCCCCTCTTGTTTCTGATAGCCACACTCTATCCTGGGAAAAGGAGACTCAGCAACCTTATCAGCATCACTTGAGGTGCTGCCCCATGATTCATCCCTTTTTCAATTACTTGTCAACATT